CGGACTGGAAGGGGGGTGAATGTGTCCGGACTGGGAAGGGGGGGAAAGTGTCCGGACTGGAAGGGGGGGGAAAGCGTCCGGACTGGAAGGGGGGGAAAGCGTCCGGACTGGAAGGGGGGGAAAGCGTCCGGACTGGAAGGGGGGGAAAGCGTCCGGACTGGAAGGGGGGGGGAAAGTGTCCGGACTGGAAGGGGGGGGGAAAGCGTCCGGACTGGAAGGGGGAAAGCGTCCGGACTGGAAGGGGGGGAAAGCGTCCGGACTGGAAGGGGGGTGAATGTGTCCGGACTGGAAGGGGGGAAAGCGTCCGGACTGGAAGGGGGGGAAAGCGTCCGGACTGGAAGGGGGGTGAATGTGTCCGGACTGGAAGGGGGGAAAGCGTCCGGACTGGAAGGGGGGGGGAAAGCGTCCGGACTGGAAGGGGGGGAAAGCGTCCGGACTGGAAGGGGGGAAAGCGTCCGGACTGGAAGGGGGGGAAAGCGTCCGGACTGGAAGGGGGGTGAATGTGTCCGGACTGGAAGGGGGGAAAGCGTCCGGACTGGAAGGGGGGGAAAGTGTCCGGACTGGAAGGGGGGGAAAGCGTCCGGACTGGAAGGGGGGGGGAATGCGTCCGGACTGGAAGGAAAGGGGGGAAGGGGGGGGAAAGCGTCCGGACTGGAAGTAGTTGAGATAGCGTTTATTAAGTATTATGAGATATGTTTATATTTATTAGGTATTATATTATTATAGCGATCACTGTACTATATTCTATTATTTTGTATCCATTCATCGATATTAAGTGCATTTCTTGGTTTTAGTTCATCATTTCAGGTGGAGAATGTGGTGCGAAAAGCTTTTTTGGAGATCTGTTATTTTTATAATTTTGTATGAATTTTACGTCTGCAGCCAAAACCCAGTAAAATCCGGAGCCGTAAGTTTGTATTTTTGGCGGAATGTGTCGGCGCGTTCCCCGGTCCAAGTCCCAACTACAGCCTTACCCCCCCCCTTCATATTCAGCATGTAATGGGATAAAACAGTCAGTGGAGGGATCTGCACAGACGTCATCCATGGCGGAGATTTTCCACTGAAGCGGGCGAGATGGAATCAGAGAAAATGAGGAATGATCTTTTACTATTATTATTATTATACGAGGTATTTCTATGCAGAGCTTTACATATTGTACATCACATCAGTCCCTGCCCCAAGGAGCTTACAATCTAAGGGCCCTATCTCACATACACATAGTAGCGCCATTTATCTTGCCAGCATGTCTTTGGAGGAAAGACACAGAAGCACAGGGAGGACAGAAATAAAATTGATCCGCACTACCCGCCATTGCTCTAAAATATTTGTTTTTTATTATTATTATTTCAGGTATTTATATAGCGCCGTCAGTTTGCGCCGCGCTTTACATATATATTGTACATTCACATCAGTCCCCCGCCCCCAAGGAGCGTACAATCTAAGGATCGACCACAGTAAAAACATCACGGGTACAAAAGTTGTTTCGGCTTAACAAGCCTTAGCCATAACCCCTACAGGCAGGACATACAAACTCCATGCAGATAGTGTCCTGGTCAGGATTTGAACTGAGGACACTAGCGCTGCAGGGCAGAGGCGCTGACTGAGCCGCCGTGCTGCGAATGTTCTCTGCAGAATGTGGATTATCACTTTTTGTCTTCCAGTTTATGTTTCATGGAATTCATTGTCAGGACATCTGGCTGCGTTCAGTGAGCGTCACCGTCTGCCCCCCCCCCCAGTAGAGGGAAGCGGCCCCGGGGCCTCCGGCCTGGATGTGTTTTGTTTGCATTTTGTTTGTGAAAAGTGCTGATCCGGTGAAAACGGCGCTCTGCTCCAGCCCGCTGGGATTTCACCGCCGGCCGCATCTGTTTCTGCTTTGTGTCCAACAATCCGCCGAGCCAGAGAGCTGCGGCTTTCCAAGAATCGGCAGCGCCGGAGAGAGGAGCGCGGGGGAGACCTGCCAGATTCACCGGGTTCAGCCAATGTTTTCCTGACTCCTCAGCATCACAGCAAATAATTGGCGGGAGAAGTTTAACTCCTTACATTTAGGGGGGTCAAGGGGGATAGATGACTGTCAATGGCTGCACTCTGGGCCTGAGAGTACCTCCTTCATTATTAGCCATTATATTCTGTAGTTCTACTTTACCACTTCCAGTCCGGACACTTTTCCCCCCTTCCAGTCCGGACACTTTTCCCCCTTCCAGTCCGGACACTTTTACCCCCTTCCAGTCCGGACACTTTTTTTTCCCCCCTTCCAGTCCGGACACTTTTACCCCCTTTCACCACCTTCCAGTCCGGACACTTTTACCCCCTTCCAGTCCGGACACTTTTACCCCCTTCCAGTCCGGACACTTTTACCCCCTTCCAGTCCGGACACTTTCCACCCCCCTTCCAGTCCGGACACTTTCCCCCCCTTTCCAGTCCGGACACTTTCCCCCCCCCCTTCCAGTCCGGACGCTTTCACCCCCCTTCCAGTCCGGACACTTCCCCCCCCCCTTCCAGTCCAGACGCTTTTCACCCCCTTCCAGTCCGGACGCTTTCACCCCCTTCCAGTCCGGACGCTTTCACCCCCTTCCAGTCCGGACGCTTTCACCCCCCTTCCAGTCCGGACGCTTTCACCCCCTTCCAGTCCGGACGCTTTCACCCCCTTCCAGTCCGGACGCTTTCACCCCCTTCCAGTCCGGACGCTTTCACCCCCTTCCAGTCCGGACGCTTTCACCCCCTTCCAGTCCGGACGCTTTCACCCCCCCCCTTCCAGTCCGGACGCTTTCACCCCCTTCCAGTCCGGACGCTTTCACCCCCTTCCAGTCCGGACGCTTTCACCCCCTTCCAGTCCGGACGCTTTCACCCCCTTCCAGTCCGGACGCTTTCACCCCCTTCCAGTCCGGACCTTTTTCACCCCCTTCCAGTCCGGACGCTTTCACCCCTCCCTTCCAGTCCGGACACTTTCACCCCCTTCAAGTCCGGACACTTTCCCCCCCTTCAAGTCCGGACACTTTCACCCCCTTCCAGTCCGGACACTTTCAATCCCCCTTCCAGTCCGGACACTTTCAATCCCCCTTCCAGTCCGGACACTTTCACCCCCCCTTCCAGTCCGGACACTTTCACCCCCCCAGTCCAGTCCGGACACTTTCACCCCCCCTTCCAGTCTGGACACTTTCACCCCCCCTTCCAGTCTGGACACTTTCACCCCCCCTTCCAGTCTGGACACTTTCACCCCCCCTTCCAGTCTGGACACTTTCACCCCCCTTCCAGTCTGGACACTTTCATCCCCCCTTCCAGTCCGGACACTTTCACCCCCCCCCTTCCAGTCCGGACACTTTCACCCCCCCTTCCAGTCCGGACACTTTCACCCCCTTCCTGTCCAGGCCAATTTTCAGTTTTCAGCACTATCACACTTTGAATAACAATTGCGCGGTCATGCAACACTGTACCCATTTTTTTGAGACGGATAAAACTTTATTTTGGTGGTATTTAGTCACCACTGGGATTATTTTTTTTTTTTTGCTATATAAATGAAAAAGTCCAAAAATTTTGAAAGTGTTTTCCTATAAAATTTTGTAAATAAATAACCTTTCTTCATAAATCTCGGCTAAAATGTATTCAGTTATCTTTCTAGTAAAAAAAATAACCCAAATTAGTTTATAACCAAAAATTATAATTTAAAAAAAAAGTCTTTTTACATTTTTTATTTTTTTATTATTATTTGTTTTTTTTTTTTACATACTGTCACCCTAGCAGTACAGTGTCACCATGGTGACATTGTACTACTTGTTGGAGTTATGAAGATCTTTTTTTTTTTTTTTTTTTACCCTGATTGCTTTTACACCCATAAAGGCTGTAAAAGCAATCATTTCTCTTTCTCTCTGTCTGCATTCTTGCAGCCATTGAGAAAACACTGTGTGAGCTGTGATTGGTCACAGCTTGTCACGTGGTACAGGGCTGTTGTGAATGGCCCTGTACCATGTGACCTCTGTGATCATTCATAGATTTCACTAGTAGTAAGTAATGATGTCAGAAGTGATATCTTGCTTACTACTATTCATGTGATCACTGATTGGCCAATCACATGATCGGGACCTCACACAGAGGTCCCGTACAACAATTGGTGTTCCACTGTGTCTAGAGGACACAGCGGGCACCGGATCTCGGTGCTGCGCACTCCCAGGGAGCGTGCACAAGCAGGGGGCGGGGAGGCCATTTATAAACGGCCACCCACCCCTGCACTGCCTCCGTCCGGCCGTTTATGTACATGGGCTGGACGGGAGGTGGTTAATAGTACACCCCAAAACAGAAGGTGATTATTTTGCAGTCTACTAGTCCTTGGATGTGGTGAATGTGTTGTTTTTTCTTTTTTCAGTTCTTTTTCCTTTTTCACCCGAGGATCACACTTCCTGTCCTGGGGTGACAACACTCATTTACTGCACTGTACCTATGGAGGAGAAGTGTTGTCATCCTAGGTTAAGACTACAAAACACCTCCCTCTTCCCATCCACATATCATAGGGGGTGTCCTGTAGTTCAGTCTGGACAATACCTGAGATAACACTGCAGTGTGTACAGGCTCTCCGGATTTCTGTCCGGATCAAATGACCTTTTTTGCCTTTTATTAAACTAAAAAAACTGAATTGGGATATTTCTGATCAAAAAAAGAACAAATAGAAGTTTTATTGTCGAGGTTTCATAGACTGTGAGATCCGGTACGGTCTGTCCCTCTTACCGTCAGCATGGAGTGTGTCCGGCCGGCAATAAGGAAACATTTACTGATGTCTCTGGGGCTGTAATATGCACAGAATCTATTTCCAGAAAACTCGTAAAAAGAGGAATGCGGCGCGGTGTGATGTGAGTGCTCGCCACATGGACGACCACCGCCGCTCACGTGTGATGTATGCAGGTTGTATAATGAATGTCCTCTGTGATTGGTCCAATCAGAGGGACTAAAAATTTGTTTAAAGAATTATAATTCCACATGTGAGTGACTCTGACCTTCCTTCTTCTTCCCAGATCATTGCTGGAGGAGGAGTGTCAGTCCCTGAAGAAAGAGATCGCCAACCTGCAGGTAAGTGAACCCCCCAGACCCACCAATCACCTGTATGTGTTCAATAAGGGGAGAGACTGAGCCACTCTAGGGGGACATTAGAGTGTAAGCTCCTATGGTACAGAGACTGATGTGACTGTGGGGGGAGGGGGAATTGGAGTGTAAGCTCCTCTGGTACAGAGACTGATGTGACTGGGGGGAGGGGACATTAGAGTGTAAGCTCCTCTGGTACAGAGACTGATGTGACTGTGGGGGGAGGGGGGAATTGGAGTGTAAGCTCCTCTGGTACAGAGACTGATGTGACTGGGGGGAGGGGACATTAGAGTGTAAGCTCCTCTGGTACAGAGACTGATGTGACTGTGGGGGGGGGGGGGACATTAGAGTGTAAGCTCCTCTGATACAGACTGATGTGACTGTGGGGGAGGGGACATTAAAGTGTCAGCTCCTCTGGTACAGAGACTGATGTGACTGTGGGGGGAGGGGGCATTGGAGTGTAAGCTCCTCTGGTACAGAGAGTGATGTGACTGGGGGGGGGGGGAATTGGAGTGTAAGCTCCTCTGGTACAGAGACTGATGTGACTGGGGGGAGGGGACATTAGAGTGTAAGCTCCTCTGGTACAGAGACTGATGTGACTGTGGGGGAGGGGGCATTGGAGTGTAAGCTCCTCTGGTACAGAGACTGATGTGACTGTGGGGGGAGGGGGCATTGGAGTGTCAGCTCCTCTGGTACAGAGACTGATTTGACTGTGGGGGGAGGGGACATTAGAGTGTAAACTCCTCTGGTACAGAGACTGATGGGACTGTGGGGGAGGGGACATTAGAATGTAAGCTCCTCTGGTACAGAGACTGATGGGACTGTGGGGGAGGGTACATTAGAGTGTAAGCTCCTCTGGTGCTGAGACTGATGTGACTGTGGGGGGAGGGGGCATTAGAGTGTAAGCTCCTCTGGTACAGAGACTGATGGGACTGTGGGGGAGGGGACATTAGAGTGTAAGCTCCTCTGGTGCTGAGACTGATGTGACTGTGGGGGAGGGGACATTGGAGTGTAAGCTCCTCTGGTACAGAGATTGATGTGACTATGGGGGAGGGGACATTAGAGTGTAAGCTCCTCTGGTACAGAGACTGATGTGACTGGTGCAGCTGTGCATGTTAGCCAATCAGCTTCTAACTTCAGATTGTTCAGTTAGGGCTCATGTACACTGCAGCTGATAAACTGAAGTTTCGGAGCAGTTGTGCATTTTTTCAGCAACACCTGAACTCTCCTTTATGTTGTCATGTACAGATAATTGTTACCAGCAGTTTACAGGCAGTTGAGGTTACAGGCATTTTTTTGAAAGCACAAAAATCGCATTCAGGAGTACAGTTTACCAGCGTTTCAAACACCAAACGCGTGTAACCTCATGTAAACGCTTGTAACCGCGTGTAAATGCGTTGATGCGCATTTGCATTTTAGGCTCGTATTTGGGCAGGTCCATATCCAAATGCTGTCTAGTGCCTGCAACAAAAATGCAATATACAGCGTTTTCCATGTATATTCAAATGGACCCGGTACACCAGCGCAGTCAGTTCCAGGTTTCGCTTGCAGGAAAAAATGGTAGAACGCGCCGCATTATTTCTGCACAGAACTGTACTGGAACACATCAAAACACGAGGAGTGTTGTGTGCTTTCCAGAATGCATCCGGAGGCATTACAGCACTATGTAGCTCCTCCCACAGCGCCACGAGCCACTTTTGCTACAGTTGCATCAGAAAGTTGCGCTTTCTCTATTTCTCACAAAATGTTTGAAATAGTTAATTATTTAGTATTTTCAGTACATTCTGGGCATTTGGGAGGGTCTCCTGAGGTTATCTTTTAAAAACGTTTCTAAACGCAGATGTGGCTAAACTGACATTTTTAACCTACGTTTTCTAGCAGTCAGTTTCTAGCGGTCAGAAAAGTTTTTCAAATGCCCCGCATACATGAGCCCTTAGCCTAGGTTCACACCTCCTGCATGGTAACCCCCGGTTCACACCTATGTGGTCGTGCGGGCCACGTTTTGCTGGGGCACGAGAGCCCATTCGTTTGAATGGACTCCCGTGCCCGTGACACGCGGGGAAAGAAGTCCCTGCACTACTTTGGAAAACACAGCCGAGGTTCCCAGTGTGGTTGCGTTTTCCAGTGTGGGCGGCGTGCCATTACAACTAATGGCACCTGCCCGTGGGTCCGCAATTCTCTAAGCGGGTGGTGTGGCTGCATGGATTTTCCTGCGGATCTGCAGCGGCACCACCCACAGAGATGTGAACCGGGGGTCACTCTTTAACCACCTCCCGTCCTGCCCATGTATATAAACGGCTGGACAGTGGCAGTGCTGGGGCGGGTGGCCTTTATAAATGGCCTCCCCGCCCCCTGCTTTTGCACGCTCCCTGGGAGCACGCAGCACCGCGATCTGGTGCCCGCTGTGTCCTCCTGACACAGTGGAACACTGATCGTTGTACAGGATCTCTGTGCGAGGTCCCGATCATGTGATCACTGATTGGCCTATCACTGATCACATGCAGAGTAGTAAGCACGATGTCACTTCTGATATCATTGCTTATTACGTGTGAAATCTGTGAATGATCACAGAGATCACATGGTACAGGGCTATTCACAACAGCCTTGTACCATGTGACAAGCTGTGACCAATCACAGCTCACACAGCACAGCAAGAATGCAGCCAAAGAGATGGAGAAATGATTGTACAGCCTTTTTGGGTGTAAAAAGCAATCAGTGTAAAAAAAAAAAAAAAAAAAAATTCTTCACCCCCACAAGTAGTACAGTGTCACCATGGTGACCCTGTACTGCTAGGGTGACAGTATGTTAAAAAAAAAAAAACCATAAAACAAAATAAAAAATGTAAAAAAAAATGTTTTAAAAATTATAATTTTTGGTTTATGATAAAACTAATTTGGGTTATTTTTGTTTTTTTTTACTAAAAAGATAACAGAATAAATTTTAGCCAAGATTTATGATGAAATATAATTTATTTGCAAAATGTTATAAGGGGGTAAAAAACATTTTTTTTCAAAAATTTTGGACTTCTTAATTTACATAGCAAAAAAAAAATAAAAATGTCTCCAGCAGTGAATAAACACCACCAAAATAAAAGCTTTATCTGTCTCAAACACATGCTAAAAAAATTCATTTGGGTACAGTGTTGCATGACCGCGCAATTGTCATTCAAAATGTGATAGCGCTGAAAGCTGAAAATTGCCCTGGACAGGAAGGGGGGTGAAAGTGTCCGGACTGGAAGGGGGAAAGCGTCCGGGAGAAGGGGGGAGAAAGCGTCCGGACTGAAAGTGTCCGGACTGGAAGGGGGGAATGCGTCCGGACTGGAAGGGGGGAAAGCGTCCGGACTGGAGGGGGGGGGGGGGGGGGTAAAGCGTCCGGACTGGAGGGGGGGAGAGCTGTACCTGATCTGGAAGGGGGGGAAAGCGTCCGGACTGGAGGGGGGGGGGGGAAAGGGGGGAGCGTCCCGGACTGGAGGGGGGGGAAAGGGGAGAGGGAAAGCGTCCGGACTGGAAGGGGGGAAGGGGGGGCGTCCGGACTGGAAGGGGGGGAAAGCGTCCGGACTGGAAGGGGGGGGGGAAAGCGTCCGGACTGGAAGGGGGGGAAAGCATCCGGACTGGAAGGGGGGGAAAGCGTCCGGACTGGAAGGGGGGGTTGAAAGCGTCCGGAAAGCTGGGAAGGGGGTGAAAGCGTCCGGACTGGAAGGGGGTGAAAGCGTCCGGACTGGAAGGGGGGGAAAGCGTCCGGACATGAAGTGGTTAACCATAAAACCTGCAATCTGATTGGCCCCCATGCACAGCTGCACCAGATTTTGCACCATCCAGGTTTAGTCCGGGTTCACATACATGCGGTGCGGTACATCGCATGCGATTCGCACAGGAACCGCACCACTGCATTCCTGTGCAAATCACATGCGAATTGTGTGCGGTGCGATCGGAGTCGTACATTATGTATGGCTCTGTTCGCACCGCATCCAAACTAAAAAGACGCAGGACCCTTTTTTATGTCCGCACTAGAATCGGATCGGATGGGTATTCACATCTACGCGATCCGATTCTGCACATCGCACCACGTTTTGCAGACCGATTTCGGGGTGTTGTTAACCTAACATACACACCCGCAGCGGTTCGCATGAACGGGGTGCGATTTTGATGCGGTGTGGAATTCGCACAGAAAACGCTGAGAATTGCGCACCGCGTCAGTGTGAACCAAATCTCCCCCAATGACTTCAGAAATCAGTCTATGCCATGGAGTCTGGTCTGTGCAGTCATATCACCCCCTGCTGGTTGCTGCACAGAACAACATTTCTGACACATGGTGCATCCATCGCATGGATGACCAATCAGTGCAGTCGCTGTCAGAGGAAAGTATTATTAGTTGAGGTGTAAATATAGAATACAATGGTCTGGTGGCCCCGAAGTTAGAGGATTTGGCATCTTTCCAGCTTCTCCAAATGATTCTGTACAGAAAAAATTCCATAGATTTGGGGTAATTCCTTAGATTGCCACCATTCCTCCCCCTTTAAAACGTCACATATTTCAGCTTACCACTCATTAGATGCGGCGTCTGCCTTCGTTTTTTGTTGTTGTTTTTCTTAAATTTTTTTTTTCTCCTATATTTTCACCTGTCAGTGTCAGGCTTGCCTCATCCCTGTAAAGGATACATCTGCAGGACAGCTTGTTCTGTTGAAAAACAACAGATTTACTGGCTAGATTGCCCGGTGAAAAATAGGGTGATAGTGTTGTAAGGGGGAACTCTGATGGTGACACCTAATGTAAGGGGGACTCTGGTGGGGACACCTGATGTAAGGGGGATTCTGATGGGGACACCTGATGTAAGGGGGATTCTGATGGTGACACCTGATGTAAGGGGGACTCTGATGGGAACACCTGATGTAAGGGGGATTCTGATGGGGACACCTGATGTAAGGGGGACACTGATGGGGACACCTGATGTAAAGGAGGACACTGATGGGGACACCTGATGTAAGGGGGACACTGATGGGGACACCTGATGTAAGGGGGACACTGATGGGGACATCTGATGTAAGGGGGACACTGATGGGACACCTGATGTAAGGAGGACACTGATGTGGACACCTGATGTAAGGGGGACACTGATGGAGACACCTGATGTAAGGGGGACACTGATGGGGACACCTGATGTAAGGGGGACACTGATGTGGACACCTGATGTAAGGGGGGACACTGATGGGGACACCTGATGTGTAAGAGGGACACTGATGGGGAACACCTGATGTAAGGGGGACATCTGATGGGGACACTGATGTAAGGGGGACACTGAAGGAGACACCTGATGTAAGGAGAACTCTGATGGGGATACTAAATGTAAGAGGGACTCTGATGGGGTCATCCCCTGTGATGGGGAGTATCTCCAGGTCGATGGTCTAGGTGTGATCGGGATCTGTGGATGGATGGATGGATCTGACGTCTCCTCCTTCTCTTCTCTATACAGGAACTCCTTGAAGAAGATCATCTGTATGCTGAGGAGTTCCAAACACCGCTGCCGGAACCTTCTCTGACAGGTACCCGTCTCCTCCCAACACCGGCATGGATGTTGTGTGTCACAAAAATCCTACCGATCGCCTGGCCACCATCACCATTCACAGTCTGGGATTTTGAAAAAAGTGTTTTTTTTTTTTTTTTTTTGTAGAGCTGAAGGAGGAAAGGCGGATTATTGAGAGAGATCTGCAGAGCGATCCGCCATCTTTGACACCTGTACAATCCAAGAAACAGGACGTCAGCCAGGTGAGGAGGAATTGTGATGGGGGGGGGGGGGTGTTTATTGGGGTGCGCGAGCACTGCCCCCTTCAGGAATTCCACTTCAGTGGCAAATCGGGAGTTCTGATTGGCAGCATCCTTGGTGGGTGAGTCAGTGTTGAATCCAACGACTGCCAGACATCTAGCATTTTCTAAAGAAGGAAAGCAATGGCTGATCAGGAGTCCAATCTCAATCTCCATGTGCATGAGAGTCTCTCTCTCTCCCATACACACGCAGCAGCGACTCAGGAGCGAGCACGCACGAGTGCCCCCAGAGCAAGCGCTAGCTCTGGGGGCACTCTGCAAGATGGAAGAGCCGGGAGAGCAGGCAGGGGACCCGAGAAGAGGAGGATCCGGGCTGCTCTCTGCACAACCATGACACAGAGACATGCTGAGGAGTGGACTGATCATTTGGAAACTCGAGAGGGCCCGGGGTCAGTAGGGGGCCCCATGAGATGCCCCTGGTACCTTTTGCATAGGCTTTTTTGAGTTTGGGCAAAGACACAGGGGCCCCATGATCCCCTATTGCCCGGGGACCCCATGAATTGTCAGTCCGCCCCTGGACATGCTTTGTCTGTTCCGCAATAAAAACCTACCTACCTGCTGTCATGCCGGTGCAGCTCATTGTACAATTTTGGCAATGCCGAATTCTGACTGAACTCCCATGCATGCAACATCCTCCCCGCCCAGGCAATGACAGCGCCCAGCATTCGGGACCTGGGAGCCGGCCGGGCGGGGAGCTCCGGGTCGGCACATCGCTGGATTCGGAGGGGAGTATAGTTCCTCTTTAACGCTTACAGGTTCCTCCCCCAGCCTGTGATTGGACAATGAATGGAAAAGCAGCAGACTAATCACCTGCTCTCTCTGTCACTCTGCTCTCTCCGTCTATCAGCAAGCTTCTGTTAGCACAGCCGCATGTGATTGGCTCCTTGTGCTGCTTTTTCCAACCCCAGTCTGAGCTCTGCTGTACACAGAGGCTGGTATAACGTTGAATTCAGGTGCTGACAATAAATAAAAATAATACATCTAGCAATGTCTAAGGCTGCTTGCACACTGCGCCAGTGTAAAAACGCATTTGCATTTTTGCTGCGTTTCCATGGTGTTTTTGCACCTGTGAAAAGAGGACACGTGAGTCAAAAAAACGCACCAAAAAATGCAACCGCAGGTGCGTCTTTGATGTGTTTCCAGGGTGTTTTGCACCTATAAAAAGAGGACACGTGACTCAAAAAAACGACACCGAAAATGCAACTGCAGGTGCGTTTTTTATGCCTTTCCCAGGTGTGTTTTTGCACCTGTGAAGAGGACACGGGAGTCAAAAACTCACCAAAAATGCAAATTCAGGTGCATTTTTGCTGCGTTTCCAGGGTGTTGTGCAGCTGTGAAAAGAGGAAACGTGACTCAAAAAAACGCACCAAAAATGCAACCACATCAGACCCTCGACTGATCCATTGGAAGAGTTCATGTCCCCTAATTTTGTGGTTTCCTTGTTCCTCAGGTCTCTGGAGGCTGTAAAGAGCGATCAGGAGCGCCGGACTCCTCCACAGACACCAGGACCTCCCGAATTACACCGACACAAGCTGACGCCGTGTCCTCCTCACCCAAAACTGAACAGCGCCACCAGGAGGACACAGGAAGCTCTCTGCTCCACCCTGCCCCCACCCTCACTAAGGGGTCCGGGGGGATTCCTTCTGCTGGACAAGAACTGGCCTCCGATCATCCCCATAAACCTGCTAATGCACCTGGCAGTCCGGGGCGTCTGTGTCGGGTGTACGACCCTGGTCGGAGCATCGGCCTGTTCACTGTGAACTGCGTTCCTGCAGACAGCAGTCGGTCTACACGTGGAATGAAGCCACCAGACACTCTGTATGTTCCTGCCCCTCCCCCCCCCGGCTCAAAGGCCACCCAGCGCTGCCAACTCTGCGCCAGCGTTCCGCAGGGTGAAGGCGAAGGTTGCCGAACATTCCACCATGATCTGAAACGGAACATCCGAGAGCGGGTGGATCATAGGGTCGGTCTATCGGCCTGGTTATGGGCGTCTGAGTAGATGAATCGCAGTCACGTGACTCAATGCCCATTCATCCCCAGTCATTCGTAATTCCACCAGCTCTGAATGTTTTAAAGCAGAACACTCGGGATAATAATCCATTTCGGTAATGTGGACTTCTTCTGGAATCTCGTCGGTGTGCTTTGTGTATTTCTTCTTCCAGATCTGTGCTGGAATCCCAGTGTGAGTAACGTCCTGGAATAAAGACCGCTCACTGCTGACCTCTTTCCTTGGTGCAGGAGGACTCTGGTTCTTGTCTCCACCCCTCCTGTAGTTTTTTGTAGTTTTGGGTGGAGCTTCCTGTAATAAAGGACCGCGCTCACTGCTGACCTCTGTCTCCTTGTACAGCGGAACTGGTCTTGTCCCCTCCGCCCCCTCCTGTAGTTTATCTGTAGTGGGGTGAAGCTTCCTGTAATAAAGTACCGCTCACTTGCTGACTCTCTCCCTGTACAGGGAACTGGTTCTTGTCTCCGCCCCTTCGGTAGTTTTCTGCTGTAATAAAGACACGCTCACTGCTGACCTCTCTCCTTGTGCAGGGTGACTGGTCTTGTCTGCTGCCCCTTCTGTAGTTTTCTGTCAGTGGGTGGAAACTATCCTTCTGTAATAAGAGAAGACCGCTCACTGCTAATCTCTCTTCCTGTGGTACAGGGAACTGGTCTTGTGTCTGCCCCCTCCTGTAGTTTTCTGTAGTGGGTGGAGCTTCCTTTAATTAAAGACTACTCACTGCTGATCTCTCTCCTTGTACAAGGGGAACTGTCTTTGTCTCTGCCACCTTTGACAGTACTTTTCTATAACTAAGAGTTCCGCTCACTGTCTGCCCTCTCTCCTTGTGCAGGGGGAATGGTGTTGTCTCCGCCCCCTGCTGTAGTTTTTATGTTGTGGTGGTTGCTTCTGTAATAAAGACGCTCACAGTGACCTCTCTCCCTGTACAGGGAAACTTGTCTGTCTCCGCCCCCTTCGGGTATTTTCTGTAATAAAGACCGTCTCACTGTCCGATCCTCTCTCCTTGTGCAGGGGAATGGTCTGTCTCGCCCCCTCCAGCAGTTTTCTGTAGTGGTGGTGGAGCTTCCTGTAATAAAGAACGACTCACTACTCCCTTCTCCTGTGCACGGAAGGTAACTGGTCTTGTCTACGCCCCTCCTGTAGGTTTTTGTAGTGGGTGGAGCTTCTGTATAATAAAGACTACTTCACTTCTGTAAATAAAGATTCGCTCACCTCTCTCTTGTGCAGGGGAA